AGATTTGTCAATTTGTCATCATCAGCTTTCTGGATCCCAATGGCAGCAGGTCCTACATTTCCGTTGGGGCCTGCGATGCGATACGGAATGCGACACTGGCCGGCCGGCCGGCCGGTGCCCTGCTCGATTTGATTGGCGTGCGACGACGACGACGACAACGGACTTGCCATTTGCCGTGGGCCCTGTCGCATGACTGACCTGCCGGAGAAATGAAGCCCGAATGACAGGGGTGTTCGGATCCGGTTTAATCCGTGTTACGTCGCACGTTGGAATGCTAATCGAGAGTGACTAAATATGAGCCAATTATAAAACTAATTTCACAGATAGAGATTAATTTACGAGACGTATTTATTAAACCTAATTAATACATCATTAGCATATGGTGCTGTAGCACCACCTTATCAAATCATGAATTAATTAGATTTAATAGATTCGTCTCGCAAATTAGTCTCCATCTATGTAATTAGTTTTATAATTAGTCTATATTTAATACTCTAAATTAGTTTCAAACATCCGATGCGATGGGACTAACCGATGCCGTATTCTTCTTCCCTCTTCTCTCTCGACTACTCCCTCCGTCCCCTTTTTTTTAAGCCCCATCAAGATTTTCTCTCTTTGAATAAGTGTATTATAAAAAATATATCTAATAATTAATCTAGTAACTTTTATTACGCACCATAATAAATATTAGTAGCCTCTGTATATATTTAGTCAAAGTCAGGTATTTTGACTTAAGAAAGTATGAGAGATCCTTTCTAATTGATATGAATAAACATTTGTAGTAAAAATACTCTTCAACATCTTATTAAATTATATCACCAGATATATCATGACCAGCTTTCAGAGTGCGTACAAATACAGAGAAGTTGTTAAAGAATGAAAAGATATAGAGAACGATTTTATTCAAATGACTTTCCAAATTATGATTTAGACAATGAGTTCAAGAAAGACCCTCTTGGACATGCTCTGAGAGTATTGTATTTCATTAGAAAATGTACTTTTGTCACCCTCCTCCCTTTCTCAACTCACGCGATTGTTCGATTCTATAAAATTGGATTTTTTTACACCACTCACCTTAAGGTGTTTTGCATAACGGTTTTGTCATGGCACTACGTCAGGCCGTCAGCTATGAGAGAGGTAAATTGGTTTCCTAGATAGTTTAGGGAGGTAAATCAAACAACAAATACCTTTTCCTTCATAATCTATGTAGTTAAAAATCCTAAAATCTGGTTTAATCATAGAAAATACGTTTTAGCCTAAAAATTATAAAATCGGTTTCATTTTTTTTCTAAATTCATGCTCTACCTTATAATGCCTAACTTGGAACTATTTGACTCTTTTATGGGCTCATTTGGTTTCTATATGTGTTAGTGATGCTCTTATATCTATTATAATTAGTCTACGTCGACAACTCGAAATAAATATGTTAAAGTTCAGGCGAGTTTAAAGACAACACAAGTGTCATATAACCACATCATACACGACTCATAGCTATCAATCCACAAGCACAAGCAATGCAAAAACAAATTTTAGAAAAAAAACAAAAAATATGATAGATAACAAGTGTCACTTGGTCTTTTACGTAGTTCGGGTGGTCAACATTAACTGTATAATAGACGATGAGAGCATTTTCTAGCAAACTAAACGCCAAAAAGGGCCATATAATTTCAATCTAGGCAACATAAGATTAGAAATGAAATGGAGCGGATAATGTCTCTCCGATATCTAATATACTTTTGTTAGTCGGATTCGGATTCAGATGGAGCAGACAATACAAGGATGCATATGCATTTTTTCGCATGTCGGAAATTGTATGGAGATGGAGCAAAATTGGAAAGGAGATGAGTTTAATGGTAGAATAATATGTGCATATGCAGAGAATTATATGTATGTCAAGAACTAATTTAGTACTTCTCCATATCCTCAAAATTCAGGTTGGAATCTCCTAAAAAAAATTCAGCTTGGATGGAAAACAAGCCATTTCACTCTCACCCTACGAGATAGAGCATGACTTTAGGGGGGAAAATCTGAAACTAGTTTTGCATTTATCTGACTAAAACAAGTTTTGTATGATTTTTCTAAGATTGGATGAGATTTTAGGATTTTTAATTGTATAAATTTTCTAGGAACAAATTTACTAAGGTTCCGGTTTACCTCAGAACTCTCAATGAATTCCGATTTACCTCCCATATTGACGTGTCATATTGATGCGGCGCCACGTAGGAATCCTAACGAACCAACTTCTCACACCAAGAAATGTGCCACATATCCCTTCGTTCAGGCATTGTAATGTTCTAGCGTTACTCTGTGTACTGGACCACAGACCAGACGGCAGCAGGGCTTGTTGGATGGATCTGCCGGTACACGTGAGCCCTTTTTGCAGCCTGTTCGGTTGGCTGGTTCGTTTCGTTGCTGGTTCGTGAAGAAGTACTGCTGGCTGGTTTACGTGAAAGAAAAATACTGTTCTGGCTGAAAATTTACGATCGTTTACGACAAGCCACAGCCAAACGAACAGGCTGTTGGATGTGGCTGCTTCAAAGCTCAATGGATTGGCCCGTGGGCTACGAAGATGACCAAGACGCTTCAGATACAGCTCTGACATATGCACTCGCGAAGGCAAAGCTGGGAAAAAAACACACGAAGTTTGTACGCCGAAGTGGTTCTCAGAAACCAAAAAAGAAATCATGTCCTTGACCTTTTTTCTCTTCAGATTTTCCTCTTAACATCATTCTCGTGTCCTGTAGACTACACACACATCAAGGGGTAACGAAAACAAAACGGAGAACCTCGGATTTCTTTTTTCTAAGCATTAAGAAGCAATAGACACCTTTTGTATCATACTCATACAGCAGGAAGAAGGTTATATACATTAGTTCACTTCTGTCTGGAAACTAGCAGTATATATATGTGCATAGCGCAACTGTCTACCAGCTGCTGTTTGCTCAATTGGCAAACTCACAGCTCATGTACACTTCAAAGATCTTACATGCCATCAGTAACAACCCCCCCCCTCCATATATTCAAATAACTCCAAATAGGTACGACACTTAAAAATATATATATTCAGTGATTAAGTTTTACTAGACTACTCCCTCCATCCCTTTTCAAGAGTCAGCCTATTTCATGTATGTCAAACATTCCTTATTAGTAACATTTATAACTCCAAATAAGTGTATTATAAAAATATATCCAAAGATGGGTGCACATGGGGGCATATGCCCTTGAGGGTAAATTTTATACGTTTCTTACTCATGTTCAGCTCATTTATCAGAGTGTCTCATGCTATATGCACATCCACCACATCCAAAATCTCTTATATGAAACTGAAAATATGTGCCATAAGCTCATAATATATCAATTGGGTTTAGAATAAAATCTAAGATTTAACCGCCAATGCAATATTTTAGTAACATGAAATCATAAGAATGTCAAACGTACTCTCTCTCCCGTTGACCAATCACAGCGCATATATGATGTTTTTGGAACAAGTGTAACATTCCTTGATAGCATAAGTAAAATATGAGTATGCTTTCATCCTCTTCTTTAGATCATGATATTTTCCTCCACTTTCTACTACTATATCCAATGTAATTGGAATCTAAAATACATTCAATAAATTTAAGAAAATTGAAACAAAAACTGATTTCACTGAAATAGATAGCACAGAAATAGGCAACAAACAAGTTACAAGAATATATACATTGCTGGCAAGCATGAGCGGTGACCATTGGATTATATCCATATATATCGCGATCTTAACAATATGGAACGAGTAACAAGTCCTCTTTGTCATTTTTTAAGAGTTCGTAAAAACAGCTTGGTAAGAAGACAAACGAGTAAGTCTATATATGCATGAGTAAAGATAGGATGTTGTACCTATTGTCTATTAAATCCTCCTCCTCAAGAAAGGTTGTGATATTGTTTATTAAATCCTCCTCATAAAAGGTATAATAGATTCAGCAGCGGAGCCAGAAATATGATTTTTTAGGGGGGAGGGAGGCAACAGCATAATTCTTTTTTAAAAAATTAGTCAAATTTAAAAATTGCAATGAAAATTGCAGGGGCTTAGGCCCATTGGGATGGAGGGGTCGGAGGAGATGAAACGAAGTCCCTCAGTGCGGGTGTCGTCCAGTTTCCAACGAGTTGGAAACAACGCTAGCTCGTTTCATGACCATGAAATGTTTTCCTTCTCTCTCCTCATTAATATGGAACAAAAACTCTATTTTTGCTGACGTGTCACCCTATTTAATGTCTATAAAACCCCCATGACATCTCCATAGAGACTGGCTTAATTGGTCGATTGTTGGATCTGCTGGTACACGTGAGCCCTTGGATGTGGCTGCTTCAAAGCACAATGGATTATATTGGCCCGTGGGCTAAGAAGATGACCAATACGCTTCAGATACAGCTCGGCATATGCACTCGCCAAGGCAGAGCTGGGACACCGTACATGAAGATTGCTGTAGCATCTGTCACTGGGAAACGTACATGAAGTTTGTACGCCGAAATGGTTCTCAGAAACCAAAAAAAATCATGCCCTTGACCTTATTTTTCCTCTTAACATCGTTCTCCTGTCCCGTAGACTATAGTCTATATACACACATAGGGGTAACGAGAACAAAACGGAGAACCTTGGATTTCTGTTTCCAAGCATTAAGAAGCAATAGACACCTTTTGTGTCACACAGCAGGAAGGTTATATATATTAGTTCACTTCTGTCTGGAAACTAGTACTAGTATATATATGCATAGCGCAACTGTTTACAAGCTACGGTTTGCTCAATTGGCAAACTCACAGCTCATTTACACTTCAAAGATCTTACAAGCCCACTCATTTACACTTCATCAAGGATCTTACATGCCATTAGTAAACCCCCCATCCATTTCCCTTCTGATCTAACCTTTACTCGATCTACCCTAAAAGGAAGAGAAAATGAATGAGTAATTATACATTTTCCTAGGTTGTGGTAAAAAAAATCCCAAGCCCCCTGCTTGTGATTCTCACTGGGGAGGAAGAGGCACAGACTGGGATGGAGGGGGGCTAAAACTAGACTGCCAAGATGGTTTCGAAAGAATCTTCGTGTAGAGTATTTGGTTCCACACGTCCGGCACGCCCGGAAGGCACCAGTGGATGCAGTCCGCGAACTTCTCTGGGTCCGCCTTCTGCTTCGGCGTCAGCAGCTTCCCTTGCCGGATGGAGTACAGCGACGTGTGGGCATCCTTCCGGTAATCTGACATCTTCGTGATGTTGATCACTGTCACTGGAACCTTCTCCATGGAGCTGGCCACCTTTACCACCAGGTCATACGTTCGCATGTCATGGTACAGGTCCAGGGGCTGGCTGTAGTTCTGATACGGAAGCGTCTCCTTTACACATCTGATCCCGTCCGGGTTTCCCCAGTTATGTGGGCTGTTGTCATAGAAAGGAAGCAAGTTTAGCAAAACCAGCACATATAAATAAATGAGTGAAATATGGTGCTAATTTGCTGCCCAAAAGCAACAGAAAACATGAAGTTAGTTTTATGTTGACAATAACATCATCTAATCATAACTGCTCTTAATTTTATTCCTTTCCTTTTTCAACTGATACATGATTGCATCAAAAAATAAAATCAACTGATACTGGAAGAAATCAATATGATTCAGCGCCAAAGGAAAGCTAATTTGCAAATATATGGTCATATAAAGTGGAAAAAAAAAACCAAAGTACAACATGCAGCAAATGGTGCCTGCTTTCTCTTATGATGTCCAGGGCATGACAATGTGGAGGCATGCGGGGTAAGCTTTCTATGAAAAAATTAGTTTTATATAGACACTAAAACTCACTTTAGCTAAATATGGGCTATGAAGCACTCAAGACTCACATGATGCTATGTTTTACTCTGCTGATCTGCTCCAAGGGCACTCACTATAATAATTAGTTAGTTGTGTCTAACAGCGCACAAGACTTCAAACCTGATGACAGAGCTTGCCAACTAAATTTATCTGCCATGGGTAAAAGAGCACATCTATGCTATTTAAATAAGCCGTTCATCGTGCATTAACAGCAACAACAACAACAACAAAGCCTTTAAGTCCCAAACAAGTTGGGGTAGGCTAGAGTTGAAACCCAGCAGAAGCAATCAATGTTCAGGCACGTGAATAGCTGTTTTCCAAACACTCCTATCTAAGGCTAAGTCTTTGGGTATATTCCATCCTTTCAAGTCTCCTTTTATTGCCTCTAACCAAGTCAACTTCGGTCTTCCTCTGCCTCTCTTCACGTTACTATCCTGGCTTAGGATTCCACTACGCACCGGTGCCTCTGGAGGTCTCCGTTGGACATGTCCAAACCATCTCAATCGGTGTTGGACAAGCTTTTCTTCAATTGGTGCTATACCACATTGATTAACATAACATGAGGCTAAAATGAGGCTAGTCAGTATGTAACAGAGCACATGTATACTTATATAGATGGGGGATGCAAGTATGTAATGTACGCAAAAAGTAAAAGACTCTGACTAAGAGAGGCTAAACATCAGCAAAATGGCTGGGTATTTAACTCACTGCATGCTACATTTATAATAATGCATCCATATTTAATTGCTGTATATGAGTTGATGGTTTCAAAATTTGAAGGGATAAGATTTCCGGCATTTATAGTACTGCATTCATATTTAATCAGTCCTTGCTGCTTCATTTTATAGGTTTATTAAGAAGTTGAAAATCAAAATGCTGATGTGAATGATGAATTTTTAGGCCAATCATAAGTACACAAAGAACTTCCCTTCAACTTTGCCACTACCCAGTATCAATTTTAACATTCATTTGTATTTTAGAAAATTAGTGTTCTGTTCCTGAGATGTGCATACTGCATGCTATATATGGTTCAGTATTACAACTATTTACGATGAGTTCACATTTTCTAAATTTTCTAGCTGCTGGTACAGAAATGTGACAGCAGGAAGCAAGCAAAGCTTTTAGACTACTCCGGCACAGTTCCTAATTCTTCTATCCTCCAGGGCTCCAGGTCCCAATAGCTTCCAGTGGTGTTTCAAGATTTGGTGCAAGCAACCTAAGCTCAGCAAGGACATGTTGTACTTGCTAGCACGAAGATAAATGGAGATAGATAACATGGTACTGAAGTCATTTCCACTGAAAAGAGGTTGTATTGGTTAATGGCAGTGGCCAAGCTAAGGGAAATCTTTGGGGCCCTTCAAATTTCAAAACAGGGAGCTTCGAATTTTCTTTAACATGTTGTATGCTCATCTCTGAACCCTCAAACACTGCTGCACTGCACAAGCATGTTTCTATTCATGCCTTAGAGATCCAGGTCTTTCTCAGCTTCCTACAAGATAGTTTTCATATACGAATATGGAAGTGCATTATATGTTCAGATTATTGACCATTAGTTCATTACCATACCCACGCCAATGTGCGGGGTACAGAAGTAAATCGGGATTGTGAACTTGACTGCATGCCAAGTGCACAAATGTGCAAATAGTGGTATACCTACTTATGGACCTATTAGGGCGTGGTCAAGCCGCACCTGCTTTTCTAGTGTACTACTATACCTTCCTTTTATTTAAGCCCATGTAGGGAGGCAAAATCGAAGTAGATAAGTATTTCAAATTCTCCTAGCAAAACTAGAGTTTTGTAGGAGTGTGGTTTATATCAACCTAATTTCAAATACTCCAACATGACAAGTTCAGCATACAATGGCATCAGCTGCCCAATTGTTTTAACTAAATAAGAAGCAACTTCTTTCTTAGAAGTACAATAAGACTTTTAATAGTTATGGCATGACGTAACAAATGGCAAAAAATTGAGCCTTGATCAATCAAGATATCATATATCAGAAACTAATTTTTAACAGACTTCTCTGTTTTCTAGTAAGCATCCATATATAGATATTTCTCAACCGTTAAAAAAAACCCAACATATCATCAGTACTCAAAGAGTCATACTCTAAGTCTCTGTTAGGAATCAGGATAAATACGAGAGCCAATTCAGCAGGGCTTCTTTTTCTCTCTAGAGGTTGTTTACATGTCAAATCCCAGTTTTCATGTCAAATCTCAGCTAACCCACACAACACCAGTACACCACATGTGAAACATTATTCTTTTTGCTGTTGTACCAAATGGTGCCTTTTGCCTTCCTAATTGTGAATCAGACCCGCATAGAAGTTTGTTGAGATCATTAAAAAAGGTCTCCCCACCATCCCTAAGTGGTGCTAGTTTTGGTGTACTTTAGTCAACAGCTGCTACTCACCTTAAAACTTTCATATACCATGCGAATCGCACAACGCCTGAAATGCAGTGAGAGGTTTCAAAATGAAGTTCTAAAATTTATTTTTTCTATTCATCTTAAATTTTGCAAATGTTTTAAACTCTAAAGATTAGCATCATCTATGTACCATGGTACCAAGTCTACAGTACCCTCCTTTTTTACTGCATAATGCAAATATACAACAAATCTGAGAAATATCCTATCAAAATCTGCTAGTGAGTACATAGTGAAGTCTAGAAAACTGAACTATATTTGGATTTTGTATCCATGCAAGAATTGTTGATTATCAAACCCATAAGCTAGGCCATCACTTTCCGTGTGGGCCCTGAACCAGCCTGGCAGCTGAGTCTTATTCATTGACTGATTGACCACATAGTTTGGTTGAGTGGACAGTGACATTGTGCCCTGCTGAATACAAAAGGAGAAAGCTTGGTGCTCCAGAAGGCAATTTGGGCTTAACAAACCCCTTCTATCAAGCCTATCTATGGTGTCCAATTGGATCAACGGTGGCCCACAAAGTTCAAGGTTGCATTGCAAATCACTCATAAAGGTACTAATCAATCAAAGTCCATTGCGAACCACCACTTCTCGTACCAGAGCGGAAAATAAAGGAAATTGTCATGAAGACGACAGACGTGCAGCAGCTTTCAGTTACCTGATGTGAAGTGGAGAAATTGTCATGAAGAACACAGACGTACGGGCAGGATCAATGTTGTCATTGAGCCAATCAGACCACGTCTTGAACACCCGACCATACGCCTCAATCCTGGGAACCTCGTCATGCTCAGACCAATACCTCGAATTTGGTCTCCTGCAAAAATCCACCCAGCATCCTCAGAACATGAACATCCCATTGCTCGATTGCAACTTGCGAAAAACAGCAAAGAAGCTACACATTTGCAGTCCAGATGGAGACAGGAGTCAATCCAGTCAAGTAGAAAGGAAGCAGTGAAGGGCCGAGGCTGACCTGACTTTCATGTCGGCGGTGTTCATCCACCAGATGTAGGTGTTGAAGATGAGGTAGTCGACGCCCCTCCAGTACCTGGCGTGCCCCTCGATCCGCTCGGGCCTGATGATCCGGTGCTCGATGCTGTGGATCTTGGGGTTATCGGAGTTGGACTCGACGAGGAAGGGCGCCCAGTAGAACTCGAGGGTGGCGCGGTACTCCTTGGCGTGGAAGACGGTGAGGGAGCCCCGCTTGACGGCCTTCTTCCTGCCCTTGGACAGAATGGGCTGCACCAGGCACACCAGCGACTCCCACTGGTTGCGGTTGAGCGAATCCCCCACGAACATGAGCCGCTTCCCGCGCATCGCCTCCATGAATCTCCGAGCGTCGAACCTGCTCGGATTGGACGCATTCAGTCGAATCGATTGGATTGGAGGGCAACAAAGACGCACGCAACCTTTAATAGCACAATCAGGCGAGGAAAGGAAGATGCGACTGCAAGCTCGCAATGAGGTAACTGGTGCAGATCTGGAGTGGAGGGAGGAGACGTACGTGGGGAGGGAGCAGTCGTCGGGCTGCCATTTCCAGTACTGCCACAGATCGTCGGGGCGGCCGTTGGCGAGGCAGGTGACCTGCTTGGTGAGGAAGGTGCAGTCCTTCTCGCGGTACGCCGGGAGGGAGACGTTGTCGAAGACCCAGCGGCCGCGGCCGAGGTCGCAGGCGGGCGGCGGCAGCGCGAGCGGCGGCAGGCCCGAGACGTTGTAGAAGTCGGCGTCCGGGTAGAGGTAGTCGTCGATGGAGAGCTCGGCGATGGTGCGCACGTCCTCGCCGTACATGAAGAGCGCGAGGAGGAAGAAGGCGGCCACCAGCGTGGTGACCGGGGAGCGGCGCGCCGCGGCGAGGAGGGAGCGCGCGGAGGAGGAGAGCGAGCCCCGGAGGCCCCCCGTGGTGGTGGGTAGCGGGTTGTCGGGGGCGGAGGTGGAGGTGGACCTGGAGGTGGAGGTGGGCGGCGGCTGCTTGGCCATGGCTGCTGCGGAAGGGAAGGGGGTGGTGTGGTGGGGTCGCGGCGCAATGCCCAGGCTGGTGAGCTGCGGGGCGAGCAGTGAGTGGTGAGTGGATCAGTGGAGGCGACGCGGGGACAGGAGGGAGGAGGAGGTGGCTAAGGTAGAGGATGGTAGAGCCCATGCTCGCGCATGGCGACGGGGGCGTTGGCCGCCGCCATGGCGACGAGCGGCGGTGCCGAGGTCTGGAGCGGAAGGGGAAGGGGATCTGATCTTCTGATGTGAGGAGGGGACAGCCACGAACCAGCACAGCAGGGCGGCAGTGAATGCAGTGGAAGAAGGAGAGGGGGAGAGGCAGCGTAGCATCACCAAGGTGGGTTTGGGGTTTAACCACACCTAAAACCCTCCTCTAATCTTTTTTTTTCTCAAAACCCTCCTCTAATCAAGGGAGGGTGTCTGCTTCGAAGGCCACCAGCCCACCAGGCAACAACAATCAACAGCCTTGCAGTTTTTTTTTAAATAATCACAGCCTCGCAGCCCTTGAGTTCCGGCAGCATGCAAAGGAGGCAGTAGCAACCGCAGGCAGCAGCCCAGCAGCCGCAGGGAAGGCAGAAAGTGATATGATGGGCCTTTTAGCTCCTGGGCCTCACAGATACTGTATGTTAGCCTTATCTCGTATTTTACAAATCCAGGTATAATACGGGTTCATCTCGTCCAAATACGGGATCCCGGTAATACGGGCTGGATCATGCCTTTCCTGTTTTTGTCCCACACCCGCTGACTCCTGGTCTGTGTCCCGTGATTCTGTCTCATTTCTGATTTTTTTTTAAAAATAAAAAAGCAGGAGGGTAAAATGTAGAAAACAGGACGGGATATAACCCGCCTGTTTTCAACCCTAATTTACGTGGATGATCGCATGAGTGTATAATATGAAAAAGATTGCTAATAATCTCCTAATATATTCTGTTCGTTTCGCTGAAAAGTCAGGTGAAAAGTACTGTTTACTGATTTATTGTGAGAGCCAGGCTGATAAGAGCATGTTTAATAGTGCCCAAATAATAAAGTGGAGCATGGTTTACCCAGACCGCTGCGGCAATCTCTGGGCGCGTTTGCGCACCTGGACCAGCACGGCCTAGCCTGTAACAGAACCGACCAAATCATAAGAACGTAAGCACACAAAAACAATCACCGAAGCGACCAATTCCTGTGCTTAAGCTCCCATAATCCCGGTAGTCCGGAAATCACGAAGGATTTCAACCAACTCTCGACATACAAACCAAGATCGTAATGATTCAACACAACACATCATTCGTTACAACATTTCACAAGTAGCATTCGGATTACATCCATCAGAGTTCAAATAAAATATTACAAACCAAGTTTGAGTGTGCGGAAGCAACATAGTTTAGTACATAACTTCATAGTTCAAATACATTGCCGGATCGTAGTCATGTCCCACAAAAGCATTATCAGCACGAGAACTAGTAGAGACCGCTAGCCTAACGGTCTAGTCTTCATCCCCAAAGAGAGGAGAAGGCAAGACTTGCAAACAACCAAAGAAGAACCGGTCATCGCAATGTGTGGAAATAAACCCCGAGTACGAGAAGGTACTCACTAGACTTACCTGAGACAAAAATCGAAATAAACGACACCAAGGATCATGCAAGGCTTTTCGGTGGGCTAGCTTGACACATTTGCATAAAAAGAGCTTATGAGCATAGTACCCAATTTAAACTTAGCATCAAGCTTATCATCATTTACCATCCACTAGATTAGCTTTTGTACTAGAGCACTCACTTATTAGGAGCAAACAATATTAACCATAGCGGTATAATAAGGCTGTCATCATCATATCATCATTTCCGAACTATTAAGTTATTAAGTGTATCTACATTGGAGATAAGCCCGTCAAGTTCTCACTAACCGGGAGAGACGGCGATTGAATCGAATTACAACTCGGTGAGGGGATATTCCTAACTCTCACCTGGCATACTTTGCAAGGGTAGCCGTGGGTCACCTTTGGAACATCTCAGAACCAAATTGCGGGTTCGATCGGCGCCCAAGACTCTCGTGGATTACCCTTCCGCCAGACGATCGGGACTTTTAAATCACCGCCTTGGACTCACGCCACGGCTCCTTCCGAGGCGCACTTTATACTTATCGACTCCCTACCGAGGTGAGCTACTCGGCTTCACGGTCGGTCATCGGACACTGACCAACTAAGAGAGAGGCATGCGTTCAACATGAACAGGAAAGGCTCCAAGAATCGGTCCTTAAGCGACTACAGACGGAGTCATCGCAAACCGGCAAGCCTCCGTCCGGTCTTCATTTCAAATTAAGACCGGTTCTTTTCCACGATAGCAAATATAGCCAACCGTGCCATATGTATCTTCCTATATCTCGCGGTGACAGAAATCACCCGACTTCTACCGCGTTTAAGCGCAGGGGCTAAGCACTACTCGAGCCTCGAGCTACATAGGATTCAGGTATCAATATCCGGACAAGGAATGGTAACCAATGCAAAGCAAGTGTTTACATCCAACACCTAAACTTAATGCAACAATATATGTAATAATATCATCAGAATCGCAGTTCGGAAAATAGGAGGCTTAAAATGCTCCGGGGCTTGCCTTTCACAAAGTTGCAAGGACGGTGGTCGGGCACTCAACGGCGACCTCGTCGGCACTTCTCCTAAGGTCGCTCCTCCCGAATCTCCCGGCGTTTGCTGCCGCCGCTTTCAGTTCCTCAATTCCAGTGAGGTTACTCCTTCCGTACACCTATTGCATGTCGATGCACAAGATAAATATCATGGATGCATAAGGAATGACATGATGCTCATGATGAATGAATCACAATGGGTGTTTACGAAAACATCTTTGGACACTCGCTTTCACGAGTAATTAGCTCTATTCAAATCACTTTAAGCATGTATCCAACTTAACTTAAATAACAAGAGCAACTTACCTAACTTGCATAACCTAAGATAAAGATGCTCATCTTCAGTTAAAGGCCTAACACCTAGAAACAGTACCATGAACTTAGAATATACAGACATGCTTAAAATAATGAGTTAAAGCTTCATATGCAACAAGTAGTAACTTAATTCTATCATAACCAGAGTTCTATAACTCCAAATGACTTGCAAGAGGACATTCTGGAAAGCTTATGAAATTCTCTACAATTCACTTGTAAACATCAAAGCATGATTCTGAAGTTAACCAAATCAATTTCCAGTAGACCTAGAATCTGTCCAGAATGACGGGGTTGTTAACTTAATTATTTAATGATGGTGCAAAAGCCTAATTTGACCAAACCAAGTTTACCAACTTATTTTTCATATCTTAGAAACATCAGAAGGTATAGTGCTAATTTCTAAATAAATTATTTAATATCCTTTTTCCCATTTATTTAGTTAATTAGGTGATTTAAGCAATATATAGTAAAACTATTCATAAAAATCTACAAAAATTACAGTAGCTATCTCATGCTGCACATAGGCTACCATAAAAATTTCAAAGCCATTGGACCAACATAACTTGTTGTATCCAAAATAACAGAGGCCATGTCTATTTCTAGCATAATTAGGAAACCTTATTAAAAAGTGTCAAGCAACAGATTTCCCATTTTTCCTAGCATCCTTTTAGCATAATACTAGCACCCATAAAATTTCACCTTCACTGGATCTATAGAAAAATTATGAAAATTCACACAAGATCTATCTATAAATAAAAGGAAATTCTAAAACTTAAAAACTACACATGCACTAGCTCTAAAATTTTTACCAGAGATTCACATAAGCAATAACAGACTGCCCACAAAATTTCATAATTTTTGTACCACATAAACTCAAGATAAAATTCAAACAAGTTTGCATGCTTCTAAAAACCCATTTCAAACTCCTATTTAATTCATCCAATTTTTCTAAAACAAGTGCTCATATAATATTTTTGTTAAATACTAGACATTATCATGAACTCAACAAAATTGGAACCATAGCATTTGGATCTATATACTAGGAGCTACATGTTTTTCAAGATTAACATAAACTGTGAAATAAATAAACGAAATAAAATAGGAAAACAACTCTCGGCCTCTACTGGCCAAGCCCAAGAACCATGCGGCCCATGACTCACGCTACTGGCACGGCCCAACGCGACGCTGCCCACGCTGGGCTCCCGCCTCGATCATGACGGGTCGACAAGAAGGGCCCGCAGGCGTCGAGAGGAAACAGAGGGAGGCGGCCGGCGACGGTGGAACTCAACGCCGGTGGCTTCTCCGTGACACCATCTACTTCTACGACATTCGCCATGACCATGCGCATCTATTGGTGACCTCAACCGGTGCTATGGTGGTGGCTAGAGGGGTTGGCGACTAACACGGCGGCGCAGACGGCCGCGGCGGCGACGGCGGCTCCGGTGAATCGACGACGACACACCCCTCGGTGACCCTACGAGCCGGTGGTGTTCCTATGGCCTAGCGCATGGCGAGAGGAAGGAATGGGAGCGGCGCGAGGGCAGGGGGCGCGGAGCGCCAACTCGCGCGAGCTCCCGCCATGGTGCGGTGGGGAAAACGGCAATGCGCGCTCTTCGAGGCTCAATCGACTCGATTGAACGGTGGAGGTGATGGAGGGGAACACGGCGAGGCTACAGGCGGACGGGGCAACGCGTTTTTGCCAAGACGCGGGAGCTAGGCGAGAGCGAAGCTCCGGCGGCAATGGCGGGCGGCTTGGTGCTGCGCTATGGGGGCGGAGAAATGAAAAATGGAGTGATGAAGGCGCGGCAGCGCCGGCTTGCTTGAAGTGGAGGGCAACAGCAGCGGGCGTCGGGCTGACCTCGGGCGTGGCGGTGCATGACAAAGAAGCCGGCGCGACGAGTGGCGGACACGCGGCGTCAAGCCTCTGCGTCGGTCGGCCACAACGTTACTGAAGTTTTTCTGAAAACCGCGATTCAGTCCTCCATTGTCCCGACTGACAGAGCATGTTCGTCGATAATTATCTCCTAATCCGTGACGAGTTAGTGGAAGAC